ATTATTTTTATAGTTCAAATATGAGATCGTTTTTTTGAAATTTATGATTTGAAAATATGAGAAGTTATAGACATGCTTATGGAAAATATCGAAAATTTTAATCGTCTTAGTTTTGAGTTAAAATCATTTGAATTTAGATAATTCGCTTTTCTCATATTTGCTTGGCTTGCTAGTAACACTTTTGAGTCTTGACATCTAAATATATGCATTTAAATTTTGAAAGTCTTTGAAATTTTGCAATTTTTAAGATATTAGCTAGAAGGTAAAAAGACATGCAGGAAATTTTGATATAAATACTATTTGTTTTTCTCCGTGGTCAAATCCTAGAAAACCAAGGCAAACATCTGCATTTTATTAATATAATTTTGCCAAATTATTTTCTTTTCGAATAAACTTATCCATAGTCCACCTCGAATAAAAGTAGGCACAGTATTTTTAAGATTAGTTTTTTTTATAATAGAGGTACATTTTGCTAAAATATATCTAACTTTATATAATTTTTTATGCTGAATATGAATATATTATCTAATTTGTTCTTTGAATGAACTGTAATTGTGGAAATTACTGAAAGCGTACACTATTTTTCATCATTTGCATATTGACGCAAGAAAAAGAAATTCCTTTTAAAGTGTAGAACGTCGGAATTCAAAATACTCATTTCTTCTTATGAAAAGTTAAATAGATTAATCAAAATGAATGTAACTATATTCTCTGAAAATTTCAGATCATCCCAATTGAATCTTACTTTTCCAGTTTTAGAAAGCATGCAGTAAAAATAAATAGTATGCTAATACTAAGTTTTTGATACTGATCATAAACACAAAGTCATTTCTAGAATGGCCAGTCAAAATGGTTATTGAGAATATCAAACTACCCTAAGTGTGATCCTTACCAAAGACTCCTGCATACCATTTTGTTCTTTAAGTAATCAACAAAAAATGCAGAGTTTCAAGCACTTCTACATTTTGGAAGACCATAAATCAATTAGGTTAGAAGCAAAACATTGTTAAAATAGTCATCATAAGTCATAGACTTTCGTTATGAAAGCACAGTAATATGACTCATTTTCTCTAAGTTTGTTGTGTCTGCATCTCTTGTGATCCTTTTCAACTGGAATTAATGAACAGATAAGGAAACAATTTCGATCACAAAATATTCAGTAATCCCCAGTCCTATGTAAATTTGTCTGAGTATATGCTAGTCCTCTTTCCAAATTGTTAACGAATTACTTGATAGCTCGTACTAAGTTGAAATTTGTACTGAAATGATTGTACTAAGCAAATATTATTGAGTTTCGAGTTGTTTTTAGTCCAATACGGATTCCTCGAACTGTTAAAAATAAAGAGAACCTTCGCTAACCACTTGATAAACTTACGGGTAATATTATTTTTTTCTTCATTGCACTCTGAGAAGAAAATAATGTCTTGTGAGGACTGACTGGCTAATTAGCAGGAGTTCGTACAGAAGTAGAGAAAACCTCGACCTGAAAGATTCATCATCTAAATCAATCATGAAAAACTTTATCTAATATGAATTTATTGTATGCTGATCTTTTCTCATTAATATTGAACGTTAAGTAAAAAAATTTTGTTAAACTATATGAAAAATAAGTGATTCATCATATTGTACTGGAGTCTTGAAGCGATGTTCTTCCGTATTTTGATTCTAGCATCACCATTTATTGGTGATAACAGGAAAGTTATTTTTCGGCAATGATCACCAAAAAAAGCTTGTTAGTGCAGCTCCAATGGAGCTAAAATGGGAAACACACATATATCATTCAAAATTTTTAACCTTATGCCTGATTTTTAAACTGCAAAATAGCCTTTTCAAAGTACTTATGAAAGCATTGATATATTATGTAGAATCGAAAGCCTTCTATGCGCGGTTGCTGAGGGGGAATCCATATCAATCTTGAACTTGAAATTTAGACTCCCTATTTTCTTCAGATATATGTGTGAGTTCCGATACAGTTTCGAAGATCTATCTCTTTTTTTAGTTGATCACTGATGGAAATACTCGATACATTTTGTATTTCGATGAAAGGTGATTTCTTTGAACAATATTTTGTTGATATGGTTAGGTGTAGTATCCCGATGAAAAATTTGCGCGATTTTTAATTGGATTTTTTCGCAACAAAATCAAAATTAAATTTGATTGATAATTTTGATTATTGTCAATCGCGATTTAACTATTACTTCATATTCTTACTTATTCAGTGTGGAAGATTCTGATTAAAATCGGATGATTTGGAAGCAAATATAGAGTTATTAATCGATTATCCTACATTATAATCTGATTTCAATTAAAAAACTTCACACTGAATATGTAACAATGTTAAGTGATAGCTCAGTTGCGATAAAAAATAATCAAAATTATCAATCGATTTCAATTTCGACTTTATTGCAGAAAAAAATCGCAAAAATTTTTCATTATGATAGTGAAGATAACCGAGACAACTCTTTTCAGAGACTTTTCAATCATCCTATGTGTATACATATATATGTTAATATTCATTTGCGTATTATTACCAATTTTTAACTCATTAAATTTAAAATGCCATTATAAACTTCATCAAGCAGAAAGAAACTCTTACTATGGATTATCGACGTATAAAATTGTAGTAAATCGAAGCGAAAAGGAATGAGCAAAATTCGCCTTCTAGGTCAACGATTGTATAATAATTCTATTTCATCTTAGAAATACAATCTCTTCACTTAATGTACAAAGGGAGTTTCGCATTAGTCTTAAAAGAAGTGATTCTAAATTAATAGTTTTTACTATATATTTTCTTTACTAATATCATCTTTTTCCTATCCTTTTTCGGTAAGAATACTTTTAATTGAAAAAATAAAATGTGAACTAATCTTGTTGAAGCCTATTTGCAGAGTCTTATAGTAGAATGAATAGTTTTTATCCATATAAAAATCTTAGCAAATTGAAAATAAAAAATTACAAGACAACACTAGGGAATTTTTTTCGGGAAATATGGAAGTTTGTTGGTAGATCATATGATTTAAATGTCTAAATGAAAACTAATTAATTCGTTGCACTCTTTATAGTATATTCCGATTCAGTCTCGTTGACAGTTACTAATCGAATGCATCTCAACAAAACATGCAATGTGTACCATTCAGATTCAAAGGGTCTAACACCTTTTTCTGGAATAGATATGTAGACTCATAGGCACATCAATGATTGAATAGAAACAAAATATTGGGATGCAATCTGTTTTGAACTAGTTTAGAAAGAGAACTTTTTGAAACTCTTCTATGAGAATATTAACTTCAATTGAACTCTGCGTTAGCTGATTTACGTTGTATTATAAATGTACTATACTTAATGTTAATTCATTTAGATTGACAATAAAGACTGTATGTCATATTCGTAACTAGTGTTTCTTCACCAGAATTGAATCCAATATACTAAAACTAATTAAATATGCCAGTGGAAGTTATTGTCGCAGGTTTACCTCGATCTGGTACATTATCAATGTGTGAGGCTCTTACTCGATTAGGCTATCACGAGACTATGCATATGGGTAAATTAGTTTTAAATCCTGCTCAAATGGCTGTTTGGACAGAAATCTACGGCAAACATTTGGAAAAAACATGAACTAGCCATGATTGGCGGCAGATGTTTAATCAACACTTTCCAGAATATGTCGCAATAACTGATGTACCGTTTTGTGATTTTGCAGTTGAAATTGCTCAAGCCTATCCTGAAGCCAAGGTATCTTTCTACATTCTTTCTTACTCACTTTTTTTCTTTACTTAGATTATTCTACTATATCGAGACTCTGAAAAATGGCTAACTTCATATCAACACTTAATGTCTCTATTTACTTATTCTAAGTTTGACGTCTTTCTAAGTCTTTTTGATAAGAAATTTTATACACGTCGTCAGCTTAGCAGATCTCGGACAACCTGGTGGCGAGATGTGTATAACTATCGCGATGCAGGTAAAGAGGTCATGCCATTCTATTTGAACAAAATCAGACAAGCTATCGAACCAGAACGAATTTTGGAATTCAAGGTACAATATGGTTGGTGTCCACTGTGTTCATTTCTCAATAAAGATATTCCAGAAGAAAATTTTCCTCGTCTCAACGATGCTGAAGCATTAGGTGAAAAATTACGTCGCAATAAGAAAGAAGCTTTTACATTCTTGATTAGAGGCTGCAAGCAAATGGCGATAGGCACAATCATGTTGACCGTTATTGCTTTAATTTATCGACGACGATCTTTCTTTCTTCGCTCAAGCTGATAGCATGAAACTAGACCGTACTATTATCTTCAAACATTCGATATGACTAATTTAAAAGAATTTAATATATTGGCTAACTTACTTGAGTAAAAATCATTTTTAACAGAAATACACATCGGAAGGTATGTTACGCGGGTGTGCGTTTCGATATAGATAAAAAGAAAATGCATATCCGCAACCACAATCTTACAAGTACTTGCTTTTTATGTTAGTGCACAAACAGTACTTATTATTAGTATTGAAAGGTAACCTTAAAAAATTATTATTAAAGAAATATAAATACAGAGTGGCCCAAAAGTCATGTTACCGAGAAAAAAATTGAATATCTTCATTATAACTCATTCAAATAGACTCATTCTTTTACCAAGAATGGAGGCATGTTCATACTCCAAACCCATACAAATAAGGTTAGTGAGAACCCTTTTTAAGTATCACTTTAGACCTCAACAAGAAAATTTTACTTCGTCACATATGGAAAAAACAAAACAATATATCTAAAAAAGGCTCTCATCAATCTTGTCCGTATGGATTT